ACTTAGTGGGAAAAGTTACAAGAATTGTTTAGATTTATAGGTTACTTTTTTTTACTTGATGCCAATAAATCTAAACTTTCTAATAACTGTGCAGGTGTAATGTTAACTTGTTAATTAAATACGCGATGATGAATGGTTTAAACTAACGAAACGTCATCTATCGGTGCGTAATCAATCTTAATTATCCGAATCGGTTTGTTTTTGGTGTGCAAAGGGTTGCCGATGAAAAGAGGTAGGAGAAGGTAATGAAATTACGTCATTGGCCATTTGTTCGAGCGTCTGCGGGGTTGCATAGTTTTGCGAATAGTTCGAGGGGTTGAAGTAAAACGAGCTATTCCGTCGCAGCCGCCGGCGATCGCCTTTTACCCCAATTAATCGCATGAATTGTTACGTTCGTTTATTATTTTTTCTATTGTTTCTTCTTCCTCTCCCACGTACGTAAAGATAACGCAGTTTTTGCAGTAAACCACGAATTTATCTACTCTCTTTTTTTGTTTGTTGTTTATTTTGCAAATAGTTTCGTAACGAACATGATTTTGCTGGAAACTAATAAAATTCATATGAATCCGCCGTATAAGTATAAAACGTACCCAATTCGAGCGCGGTTTTCCTTCCCTCCGGTTATTCGTTCTGGGATTTTGGAGATACGCAATGAAATATGCAGGACCGTTGCGGGACGTGAAATATTGAAACGATTACGGGTGTATTATGATTATTATTATGGCATCATCCGTTCACTTTTTTCTTTATAAAAATCCTTGAATTCTACTGCATTTTAACAATAACAACAACAAAAACTAAAGGATTTTCTTACAGCTTGGCGCATCCACCAATTTAATTGACCAATTTATTGTTGAACATACTTTTTTCTTTTCAATTTCATTTTATTTACTTTTGTTGAAAAAAATCATTTGAATTATAACAAATTTATTGCAATTTTCAATTATTTTAACTTTCTTTAGTTTATTTTGATCTAAATTTTGATGGGCGAGCGTAGCGAGTCCCGAAAAGCGACAATAGTTTTATACTAAATAGAGTATTTGAAGATGAAATTGCCTTTCAGGACTCGCTTCGCTCGCCCATCATAAAATAGAAATAAACTAAAAAATAATTGAAGTGAAACAATGGAATTTGAAAAGCTGTTGAAGTCCTTAAAACTTACATAACTAGTTTCAAATTTATTTTGATATAAGTTCCGAATATTCTTACTGAATATAAGAACTTAAACTTTTTTCAGATCTTGAATTAACTTCCCGAAAATCTTGACTACAGTTGCCTTTCAGGACTCTCTTCGCTCGCCCATCAAAATCTCTTACAAAAAAAGGATATATTTCTATACAAATCTTTAGCATATATAAGCACACAAAAGTTTCAATTACTTTTATCAAGTAATGAAATCGTCATCAAGATCTTCAATAATAGAAGAAGTTTCTTACAGTCACATTTAAGAGTTGTTTTATGCTATCTTCTAAAATTCGCATCGAATATTGAAAGAAACAATAAGTTCAATATTTCCTTAATTTTGAAGACTTTGAACAACCAAAAAAAACTTACATTAATACAAATGAAAAAAAAATACCCATATCAGAATCATAAAATAAAATCTTATTTGAACAATTATTATTACTGAATTTAAACTAGACATATTTATGATTTTATAGGATAATGTATTCATTATTTATGTACATACAGATATGATTATCAATAATTCCTTTAATTGCAGCAAAATCACGTAACATTTCGTTTGTTTTTGATGGGCGAGCGAAGCGAGTCCTGAAAGGCAACTGTAGTCTTGAAAATTTTGGTCTTGTACTATAAAAAGAAGAATTTCTTGTCTACTATAATCACTAGGTACATTTGTATCAAAATGAAATTTTCAGAAATGAAAGTGAAGCGATTTTTCAAAATTGCAATTGCCATTCAGGACTCGCTTCGCGAGCCCATCAACTTCTCTTAAACAACAAATGAATACATTACCATTTCTTTATAACTTTTTCATTTGCTGAAAGGCAACTGTAGTCTTGAAAATTTGATAAGTAGTTCTATACTAAACAGAGTATTTTAAGATGCAATTGCTTTTCATAAACTAGCAATAAACTAAAAAATAAGTGAAGTGCAACAAATGAAATTGAAAGTTAACTTGATGGGTGATCGAAGCGTGTCCTGAAAAAGGACAGTAGTTCTATACTAAGTAGAATATTTGAAGATTCAATTGCCTTCCTTGATATTAGATTTTTTGTAAAATAAACTTGATAATAGTTCAAATTTCTTCAGAATTGATGACTTCAGTATAATATCTTATTAAATTGTACCATTTCAAGTCTTTTGGTTTTTGAATCAATGCTTCGACTCATTGATTCCTCGCTTCTCTCTCTTCAATAAATCACACACATTACACATAGGACAACGACGGAAACGTCCTCTTCTTTCTCTCGCGGAATTTATTTACGTTCAAAACCCCGTTTTTCCCTCAATTCCCTTCATCTATCTCTCTCTCTCATTCACTCCATTCTACGTATTTCATTTCGTTTCATCTCAGGTCCAAAAATGGGATCTTCCCCTCGGGGTCTTATTTACCTTCGCCCACTAATAAATCCCCTTTCTACATTTACGGACTGCAGATTCCACTCTTCCACGATTTTCCCTTCGTATATATTTTTTTCTTCTTCTATCTCTCCACTCTCTCGTCTTTCCCTCATCCCATTCCCTTCTTTATAACAAATCTCCCTTGTAAGTGGACGCGCCCCCTCGAGCATTTTTGCAATAAATCCAATCCAATTACCCATCCAAAACCCTACCAAAAAAAAAAATATTTAGAGAGAGAGAAAGATTCGAACTCTTTTCGTAAACTAATTTCATAACTTCGCAAAACTCCAGCGATTAATCAAACGAAATCCGAATGAAAGAAGCACGCACCAAGACTCAGCGTAATCCGAAAAATCATTGATTATTGTTTATATATAATATTTAAACAATGGTAATTTGGTTGCATAAAAATTTCATTAATGTCCACTCAACAATATTTAAAATCTAATTGGAATATTAAAATTGTAATGTTATAAATTGGTTTGTGTATATTAAATTAGCTAGGGGGAGAATTAGTGTTTGTATCTATATCTATATAGATTCGTAATGTAGTGAGAATGTTCGTGGGATTAAACCGAGCAAAAACCCTTAATTTCGCAACGGAATGAACGTAATTACCAAAAATTACACGCATCGTTTGATGTACACACAGTTTCCACAGAGTCGATTTTAATTAACTGCTCTCGTTTTGCACGTTATAATTTTGGTCTTGTACTATAAAAAGAAGAATTTCTTATCTACTATAATCACTAGGTACATTTGTATCAAAATGAAATTTTCAGTAAAGAAAGTGAAGCGATTTTTCAAAATTGCAATTGCCTTTCAGGACTCGCTTCGCTCGCCCATCAACTTCTCTTAAACAACAAATCAATACATTACCATTTCTTTATAACTTTTTCATTTGCTGGGCGAATCCTGAAAAGGGTTTAAATTATTGTATTCGTATGACTACAGTCGTCTTTCAGGACTCGCTTCGCTCGCCCATCAAAACATTATTTTTAAATCATATTAATTCTAACAAAAAAAAATTGATAAACAAAAACTATGTGGTTATTACAATACATGGAAAGAACGTTCACAATAAATGAACTAATAGTAAATTTAAATTATGTTTGATTAATGAAATTAATTAAATTACAAATACTAATTATAAATATTGTATTGCAATGCGAAACAAACTGTTCCATGAAAAAAAAAAGTAGTATGTAAATTGCGAATTCGGCAAATGTTTACAGTAAATTTAATTAAATCGAACTCGATAATTGTGTTTCACGTGATCGGATTGGAAATGCGCGAGTTGTTGTTATTGTTTGTCGAAGTTTGAACAGAGAGAGAGAGAGAAAAAGAGGGATGAGTGAGTGAGTGAATTTCTTCAATTCGCATTTCCTAAACGAAATTTCCCTTAATTCCTTTTGGTTTCGGGTAAATAATTCTGCGGCGACAAAACCGGAACTTTCTCCTCGTCCGTCAAACGCAATTAACGCGCTTGAAAATGTTTGGAAAGTGGAGAGAAAAGTTTTTAATTTTTTTTTTGGGGGTAAAGTTCGAAATCGATTCGATTCGTTTTAATTATCGCATCACCATTGAAATTAAGCTACAAACAGAAGAAAAAAAAATGATGAGGAAAAAGTTAATAAAGTTTTAATTTCGGGCTAGGTTTTAATAAACAAGATGTCAACTTACTGATATGTTATTTTTGTATGTTGGTCACTACTAAATGTGTAATTTAGATGTTCTAAAAAGTATTTAGTGCAGGATACAATGTGTGAATCTAACGAATAGTAACTAATTGCAAAAGTTTATAGTTGCCTTTCAGGACTCGCTTCGCTCGCCCATCATAATCAATTATATAATCAAATATTAACAATATGAAACAATATCTGATAATTATCGTATTATTGTAGCGAAGCGAGTCCTGAAAACGATCTACATTTTTGTATTTGTTAATGTCAAAAATTTCAAGTCTCACAATTAAAACGCGCACAAAAGTAATCTAAAAAAACAACGTTTTTCTCCTGAAGTTGATAGAAACGGAAATGATGTATAAATATATCCAAAAACTGAAATATTCTTCGCTTTTGTTATGCTCGAAATAATACTATTTACGCAAGAATGAAACTTACAAAAACAAAAAAAAACATTTGCATTCTCGCTGAAACAATTTCATTTTTGTTCATCTGTTTCCGTTGTTTTCACGCAAAATTATACATTCGCATCGTCCCATTTTCGCTAGCTCGCTGACAAAAAAAAATAAAAATATAAAGGCGGCTGCATTCTTTCGCAACTTGAAATATTGGACAGTCGCGACTCGTTCGTATTTTGTTTGTAATTTTAGTATTTTCATTTTTTTCAAGTTGGTAAATGTTGTTTTCACAGTGTTTCTAAAACAATTTTTGTTGTTGTTGTTGTTGCAGATGATGAGGCGGCCTCGGTGAGCGGTATCATAACCTCGAACGGGTTATTCGATGGGGTCGTTTCGACGCGTCTGGACGACTTCTACATAGAGCCGTTGTCCAGGTACCTGGAAAACGGTAGAAATCGCTCGGACGCTATTCACTCTATAGTCTACAAAGCGTCGGACGTGGATAGACCGGATGCGAGCGAAACCGGATGCGCTTCGGAGAAGCTTCGAAGATCGCGGAGATGGCTTCTTCAGGCGGAAGCGAAACATCCACAAGACGAGGCCTCTCACTACTGGCATCCCAACATCCGCACTCGTCATCCGTCCTTCGACTTGAACACTCCGTACAATCAGCCGATCGATGAGGATCTGATAGACATTACTCCGAACCGGACGTTCACCGACGTTTCCGGTTTGATCTTCAGAAACGTCAACAAACGCGCCGCCATCGATCCGAAAAAAACGACATGCATGCTTTACCTTCAAGCAGATCATCAATTCTTCCAAAAGTATGGAACCGAGGAGGCCTGCATCGAGGTGATGACGAGGCACGTGCAGAGGGTCAACTCCATCTACAAAAACACAGGTGAACTACATGAAACAATCCCACTAGTCGTGTTCTTTCCCCTATTTTATGTTGTGTAAAGAGGGGAGACACGAAATTAAATATCAACAAAACAGAAATAGGGGAGGCGCTGATTGATTTAGTACTCTTAACAAAGTGTTTTTTTTTGTTTTGTTATTCGTAACTAGGGGATATTTCTAATAGGTTTTTTTTTTTCGCTCAGACTTCAATCAGGACGGAAAACCGGATAACATCACGTTCATGGTGAAGAGGATCAAAGTTCACACGACCGAAGCGGTTAAGGATCCTCTGTACAGGTTTCCCAACAACTACGGAGTCGAAAAATTCCTCGAGCTTTTTTCTGGTAAGCGAAACTTAGAAATAACTTAATATGATGAAAGAGCGTTTCACCCCAAAATAAAGTTGGTACGAAACGTTTGTCAACAACAAAAAACACTAACAAACAAAACATGCGCGAGACAAAGGAGAGGTTATGTCGGAAATTTGGCTGTAACAAACGAACGATGACAAAAGCTTTGTAACCGGTTGGCTCTTGTTTCCGGTATGATAATTTGTATAGGCAACTACAATCACACTTTTCCGTTCGTAATGAGTATAATTGCAAATATATAGGCAACTGTAATCACAGATTTGTAACGAAAGTAACATATATCAAAAAGGCAACAAATTCAATAAAATAATACATGAAATGGAATAAACTCGTCCGTGTATTTTTTGTCCCTGAAAACTTCTATATATTGTCGCATTTTTACTGCTATCTCGCTCCTTTTTTACGACACGTTTGTTCTAGATCTTTTTTTTGAAACACTTGTTACGCACATAAAACTCCGTGAAACTCTATTTTTAAGGGTCAAAACTCCGGCAGCAGCTTTCCCATTTTTATAATCAAACGAAAGAAAGAAGGAGAAAATCTCATAAAAAAAAGGAAAATCAATTTATAAAAATGCTACTGCAAAAACAACTGTGTAGCTGTCATGTTTACTTGACATTTGACATATATACTTAACCTTTAATTTTATAAGGTTTCTTATTCAATATAAATAGTTTTCAATATAATTAATATGATGAAAGAACGTTTCTCCCCAAAATAAAGTTGGTACGAAACG